GGCTTGCGCTGTCAAAGGGGTTAAGCAATTTTTTGAAAAAGGGGCTTGTGACTGTCAAAGGGGTTAAGCAAGTCTTTGAGAAAGGGGGCTTGCGACAGTCAAAGGGGTTAAGCAAGTTTTTGAGAAAGGGGCTTGTGACTTCAAGGGGTTAAAGAAAGTTTTTGAAAAGGGGGGCTTGTGCTGTAAAAGGGGGTTAAGCAAGTTTTTGAGAAAGGGGCTGGGACGTCAAAGGGGTTAAGCAAGTTTTGAGGAAAGGGGCTTGTGATGTCAAGGGGTTAAGCAATTTTTTTGGAAAGGGGTTTTGTGACTGTCAAGGGGTTAAGCAAGTTTTTGAGAAAGGGGTTGTAAAACTGTCAAAGGGGTTAAGCAAGTTTTGAGAAAGGGCTTGTTGACTGTAAAAAGGGGTTAAGCAAGTTTTTGGGGAAAGGGGGCTTGTGACTGTCAAAGGGGTTAAGCATTTTTGAGAAAGGGGCTTGTGACTGTCAAAGTGGTTAAGCAAGTTTATGAAAAAGGGGGCTTGTGACTGTCAAAGGGGTTAAGCATTTTTTGGGAGAAAGGGGCTGGCGACAGTCAAAGGGGTTAAGCAATTTTTTGAGAAGGGGCTTGTGACTGTCAAAGGGGTTAAGCAAGTTTTTGAGAAAGGGGCTTGTGACTGTCAAAGGGGTTAAGCAAGTTTTTGAGAAAGGGGCTTTGCGACAGTCAAAGGGGTTAAGCAAGTTTTTGGGGAAAGGGGATTGTGACAGTCAAAGGGGTTAAGCAAGTTTTTGAGAAAGGGGCTTGTGACAGTCAAAGGGGTTAAGCAAGTTTTTGAGAAAGGGGCTTGCGACAGTCAAAGGGGTTAAGCAAGTTTTTGAGAAAGGGGCTTGCTACAGTCAAAGGGGTTAAGCAAGTTTTTGAGAAAGGGGCTTGTGACAGTCAAAGGGGTTAAGCAAGTTTTTGAGAAAGGGGCTTGTGACTGTCAAAGGGGTTAACCAAGTTTTTGAGAAAGGGGCTTGTGACAGTCAAAGGGGTTAAGCAAGTTTTTGAGAAAGGGGCTTGTGACAGTCAAAGGGGTTAAGCAAGTTTTTGAGAAAGGGGCTTGTGACTGTCAAAGGGGTTAACCAAGTTTTTGAGAAAGGGGCTTGTGACAGTCAAAGGGGTTAAGCAAGTTTTTGAGAAAGGGGATTGTGACAGTCAAAGGGGTTAAGCAAGTTTTTGAGAAAGGGGCTTGTGACAGTCAAAGGGGTTAAGCAAGTTTTTGAGAAATGGGCTTGTGACAGTCAAAGGGGTTAAGCAAGTTTTTGAGAAAGGGGCTTGTGACAGTCAAAGGGGTTAAGCAAGTTTTTGAGAAAGGGGCTTGTGACAGTCAAAGGGGTTAAGTAAGTTTTTGAGAAAGGGGCTTGTGACAGTCAAAGGGGTTAAGCAAGTTTTTGAGAAAGGGGCTTGTGACAGTCAAAGGGGTTAAGTAAGTTTTTGAGAAAGGGGCTTGCGACAGTCAAAGGGGTTACGCAAGTTTTCCATGTGGTTTGTTTACCAAAATACGAACAATTAATTTCACTTACTTGTAAGACACTAAAAAACATTGATCACATAGAATTTTTATTTTAACCAAAGGAAAGAACCATTCTTGTGGACTATCAAATATTCACTGTTTGTCTACCAAGACAATTTTTTAACAACGGAGGCAATAATCAAGCTTACTTTCATACTTTCTTTCTGATAGATTTTGTAGTCTTCCAGGTTGGCATAACATCTGTATCTGAGTAACCATCACTGCTGCTCCAGTCATCAGATTCCAGTTTATTTTGTGTGGTGGTCAATGAGGCTTCAGCTGAGCCTTTGTAAGGTGACTGGCTGCGTTCAATGTCATATTCTGAGTCACTGTCAGTTTTTGTACTTTCTTCCTCAAATGTTTTTACATTTGCATCTTGTATTCTTTGATTGTCATCACTAGAGAATGAATCAAGAGTTTCTTTAGTTCCTAAGTAATTTACTTTCTTTTGAAACATAGAAAAAGTTTGTGCAGATATTTCTTTGCCTTTTTTTGACTTTGATTTTGCAATGTCACTATGACTTGTACCTTTCACTGCCTTTGATTTCACATAACCATCACTGGATAACTTATCTTCAGACTGCAAAGAATCACTTTTGTTCTCATTCTTTTTCTTTTTAAACTCAACATTTTTATTATTGTTCTTGAAAGATAAAAAATCAGCAGTAAAGTCGTCATCGCTCAGTTCTCTGGCGAAGTTATCCTCGCTGGTTTTTCTCACTGTCTTCCGCTTCCGTGGGCTTAACAAATAAACAGGATACTTTTTATTAGGATACACTTCTTCAAATATATCACGTTGAAAGAATGTAAACAATGTCTTGCGATGAACGCCAAGATACACTCTATGCAAATTTTTGTTCATGTTTTTCACATACTGTAATACTTGTTCTGCATATTTTTCCTTAAGTTCTTCACAATGTTCAGTATATCTTTGCTTCTTATCCTCTGACAGGTTTTCCCATTTGTTTAAACACACATTTTTGAATTGGGACTGTGATTCATATTTATCTTGGGCCAAATGTTTTAACTTCATACAGAAGAGCATAAAAGGGTTCTTAGGAGGTTTGCATGGTTCATCAAGAAACTTTGGCATGGATATTTCAAGTTTAATCACATTTTCAAATGCTTCAGATGGTTTTAACAGTTGACGACGGGTACTTGCAGATGGGGCGGTTTTCTTAGGATTTTCCGTTTTCTTAATTTTATCTCCCTGAGAAAAACATTAGTTAAATAAGTTTTATATATTTTGATAAGATTAATAAGATTAATAAGAAATACACATTGTTTTCTTAAGCTGTTATTAAACTACACAAGATGCTAGTTTTAAAATGATTAACCAGATAGCAACCAAAAATATATCTACTGAATTGAAAATGACTTATTTCACTTCACTCTTACTAGTTGTTACCACTCCTTTACCTAGATAGACACCCAAACATTTTACACAATGCAGTCACTAACCCCAATGTCTCCATCACCTAGACACTGACTACCACATCTCTACTGCCCTGGTTTCTCCTTGTATGAGAATTTAACTTAATTGGTTCCTAGGTAGTGTTGTGAAAGGGTTTGTTTTTTGGGTCACCCTGCCTTGGTGGGAGACTGCCAGCATGTTGAAAATATGTAAATAGTGATCCCTCGTTTATTGTCGTTAATCCATTCCTGGAATTGTGACGATTATCGAAATAGACTATTTTCGAATCAATTTTCCCCCATGAGAAATAATGTAAATACAATTAATCCGTTCCTGACACCCAGAAGTATTAAAACAATTTTACATGAAATATAGATGTAGTACATAAACAATACAATGGGACATGATGAATGAAACATTAACAGCATAACACTTACCTTTATTGGCAACTCTTCTTAGTGTATGGAAGACTGGAGGAGGAGAGAGATTGGATTAGTTACCATTTAAAAGGGGAATCCCCTTCCATCAACACCTTAGGTACCAAGTCCTTTTCTGGGGTTACTTTGTTTCTTAATGCCACTAGGACCAGCTTGAGAGTCACTGGAGTCCTGTCTCACAAAAAAAAGTCCAGAGCTTTGTTTCTGGCATCCCTAAAATGGGCCAAGACTCACTGTACAAGTTGCTGATATGGCTTGCAACATCCTTCTCAGGGTGATGTTTCTCCATAAATCTTTCCATCCTACTCCACATTTCAAAAATCTCCTAAATTTCTGAAGGCACCTTCTTCCATCTCTCTTCCACCTCTGCAGCAAGATTCTGAGCTGCAATCTGTTGCTCTTCCTGCTGAAGCTCTTGCAGCTCCTCAGTGGTTAGCTCTTGGTTGTGGTCCTCCACCAACTCTTCCACATCCTCCAAACTCACATCCAACCCCATGGAACTCCCCAATGCCACAATAGAGTTCACAACTGACAGGCTCATCAGGGTCAGCCACAAACCCTTCAAAATCCCTCTTGTGGATACAATCTGGACACAATTTTCTCCAGAGTTCAAAGTCCTGGTAGTCACTCCCTCCCAAGCCTTACCTATAAGGCTTATGCAATGGAGGTATCTAAAGTATTCTTTCCAAAACTCTTAGGGTCGAGTGAGTGTCTAAGGTCACATTAAAGCACCTTTGAAACATTGCTTTCATGTAGAGTTTTTTAAAGTTTGAAATCATCTGCTGGTCCATGGGCTAGAGGAGAGGAGTGGTATTCAGGGGCAAGAACTTTACTGTGATGAACTCAAACTGGCAGAATTAGGTCATCCAAGTTTGGAGGATGAGCAGGTGTATTGTCCATTACCAGGAGGCACTTGAGATCCAATTTCTTTTCCAGGAGGTAATTCACACTAGGGCCAAACACTTCATTGAACCACTCAATGAAAATTTCCCTCGTGACCCCAAGCCTTATTATTAGATCTCCAAAACACACAATTTATAACATTTTCAGAATGGTGCACTAGTAACAGCTTTGCTTTGAAGTCCCCCACTAGCATTAGCACAGAACATGAGCATCAGCCTGTCTTTCGTAGGCTTGTGTCCTGGCAGTCCCTTTTCCTCCTGAGTAATGTAGGTCCTCTTTGGCATTTTCTTCCAAAAGAGGCCTGTTTCATAACAATTTAACACTTGTTCAGGTTTCAGTCCTTCAGCCTCTATGTACTCCTTGAATTCGCTTACAGATTTTGTAGCTGCAATTTTGTCCAAACTGGCAGCCTCACCATGCCTTATCACACTGTATGCCACTATGGTTCTTTAATCTCTCAGACCAACCTTTGCTGGCCTTAAATTCACAAATATCAGTACTCATTGCAGGCAATTTCTTTACCAGATCGTCATGCAACTGCCTAGCTTTTTCACAAATAATTTATGTCATAGCACTATCTCCTGTTAATTGTTTCTAGTTTATCCACACCAATAACTTCTCAACCTCTTTGAGTACTGGTGATCTCATTTTTGTCAGCATATTTACCCTCTTTGCAACAACAGCATCCTTGATATCCCTTTTCTTGGCCACGATGGAAGATATGGTTGTATGGGATTTGTTATATTCCTCGCCAGTTCAGCCACACGTACACCACTTTCATATTGTTCAATGATGTTTTTCTTAAATTCAATCATATTTCTCACCTTTACCAAAGGCTTGGCACTAGGAGCTTTCTTTGGAGCCATGGTAGCTTATTTAGCACTTGCAAGCACTAAAATGAATCTAATATTATGAAATTTCATATGAACACATGAGGGAACCATTGCTCACTGGTAAACAATGGCACACTGGCTGGGAAGGGAGACCGAGGTGGCTCAGAGCTGTGAGTACGTGTCCAGGATGAACGACAATTAGCTAGTCAACTGACCATTTGCGAGCCAATGTTTGGACTAAAATAATGCGACAATTTCAGAAAAGGACAACTATCGAGCTCGACTATTATCGAGGGACCACTGTATCTATCTAGCTCTATCTCTCTTGCTCAAGAGGAACAGTAATGTTATACAGTACTCACAAGTAGTCTCGCTCTCATAAACAATGTTAACTCATCTTGATTCTCTTCCCAGGCATCCATCTGCATTCTGCACTTCTCCATTTTCTGGAAAACAAATTAATTTCTGTCATTATGCTATATTTTTAGCAACCCTGAAATTTTGAATTGGAGCTGCCCTACCATTCCTAAAATCATACCTGGCTATGTCTCATTCCCTAGGTAGTGAAGCCAAGCAAAAGTTCAATGTTTCATTGCAAATACAATAATCCAAGAGTGAGGTGTAGCATTCACAGTTTAACACAAGGCACTAGCACCATTATTAATTTGCTTCCATCATTATTAATTTCTGCCGTTATCAATTCACTACATATTCATAAATTTCCTGTGAACAGTTCTGATCACTTTACCTTATCAAGTAAAGATTTGTAATGTAGTTTTCTTGAAGAGGGCAGGTTTTGGTACCTCTCCAAAGCCACCGTGACCTTCTCGAAACCTGAAAACTGGTCCAACTCTCCAGCCTTCTGGAGTTCATGATAATACATCATGCTAGGTCTGATGGGAGGAGTCACTGGCATTCTCCGGTATCTGAAAATGTAGGAACATTTCTTATAATACCTTGAATAATATGGGGGATGAAAAATTACTCTATCAATAAATATAATTAAAGAGTGCTCTATCTGTGAATAGGGCACAATCTCATATGCCTCATTAATGAGAAGGGAAGCTACCAAATAAGTATACAAGATTTACCAAGAACAAAAAAAAAAAAAAAAAAAAAAACAGCAATGCTGTCAGAGTAGAAAGCATTCTGAAGGATGGATAAGGAATGGCTCATTTGATAAAAGTTACACATGTCTCAGTACAGTAGTCTCTTGGGTTACAATGAGAGGGAGTTACCATAGTACTGAGTTATAATTTGCCCCTCAAAGGAGTTTAGTTTTGAGTTGTGGTGAAAATTTGAAATGTATACATTTGCTTTTAATTATGCTATTGTGTTCCATGTCATCATGCCCCAAAAGTGTGCAATGCCGGGGATACCCTATGAACTAAAAAAAAGTGTTAAAAACAAAAAGCAGGAGTTGAAGGGCATTGTGTTGGTATGGTTTTCCCACTATAAACATTCCTATTAAGCAATGACAGAGGATATTTTAGTGGCTGATGAACTAAATGAAAAAAGGCAGAAGTTATCACACAGTTTAAAAAGACTTGTTACTGTAGATAAGAGAAGCAGATGAAGGAGGACAATACCGCATTTATTTTTAACCCAGCCCTTGTAGATTCAGCCTTGTTTGTTATAAAAAAAAAAAATTGAGCTGCAAAGTGCGGGCAGTAAAAGTTCCCCTTACAGGGTTTTGGAATGAATTCCCATAAAATTTTATTTTGGGGTTTTGAGTCAATAGTTTTGGGGTTCGTACTCTGGAACGATTAATCTGCAACTAAGGTACCCATGTATATAATCAGAACATAACAAAATGGAAAAAATTTTACTCATCAAGGAAGAGCTGTATATACTTTTGTTGGACCTGAAATGATGGGAAAAATAAAAAATCAGGATTTTTCTCCAAGTATTCTCTGACTTTTTGTGAAGAACAAAATAAAGAATTGGGGTAATTTCACAAGGCAAATACACAACAAAAGGGTAAAAATGTGTTGATAAAATACAGTAATGTAAAAAAAATTTGAACTTTGGTGGAACACAAATTTAAACTTAAACAGGATTAAAAAATTTTAAATGAAATTTGTTTTATACGATTACTTTTAACCCCAAATGTTAAAAACCCACAACTTTCTTCTGCACCCAAAATGAGGAATGAACAAAATAAGAAAAATACCACTTATTTTGGCAGTCTGCATAAAGGGCAGTGCAACCCAAAGCAAGAAAAATTTTCATCATTCACACAATCCCTATCCTGCAGAGGCCCCACTTGACAGTTCAGATGCCCCCAAAACTGCAAATATCCCAAACCCCTTTTTTAAAGTGCAGGCATTGTGCTTCCCCACCTCCAGGACTCAAGTTGGCAAACCCGTTTCTTAAACCCCCTTCCCACAAAATATTACCCTTTTTCACCCCCCAACTGTTAATCAAACCCAAAAAAATATTCATCTACATTCACTCCATCTAACACGCAATACCTCCGTGGAAAAAAAATAGGGTTTTATTTTTCTTAAGAATTTTTAAAAATATTTGGTCCCCTACCACCAAGGCGCCTTTTTCCCAAAAATCTAATTTTTTAAAAAAAAATTTAAATGTGTGCAGTGGTGGGATGAAAAGTGGGAAAAATTTTGGTAATATATTCTCATTTAAAAACCCCCGAGTGGCCCTGCTTTTTGGGGCCCCTGAAACTTATGGGGTCCTTCAAACCAGCAAAAACTATCATTTTGGTTTAATTACATGTTATTTTAAAACTCTAAACGTAGCCCCAAAAAATTTAAAGCAATTTGGGATTAAAGTCACTTCTGGGGCCCCTTTTGGATGGGGGTCCTAAAAGCTTCAGCTTTTAGTTTCTATTTCTATTATCAACATAATTGCTGATCCTGAAAACACTGTGGGAAGCAATTCACAAAAACTTCCACACTGCCAGGGGAAATTACCCAACTTTCACTGTTTTTGGGAAAAAAATATTAGAAAGTCACAAAAGTAGGGGAACCAAGATGAAAAGAAAGAAAAAAAAAATTGAAGTTATATCCGTGTGAAAAAACCACCCATTTTTTGAAAAAATGGCGGGATGGAAGAAAATGTTAGTTTTCTCCAAAAGTCAGCTTTTTGTAAATTATAGTATTTAGGGCATTACCCTTTAGATTTTAACAGCTCAAAACCCTTTTGACTTCCCCCTTTATCCCCTTTAAAACAGCCAAAACCCTTGCCTTTATCATAAAATAGCTACAAAACCACTTGCCTATATCATAAAAAAGCTAAACAAAACCACTTGCCTTATACCATAAAACATAAAAAAACCCCCTTCCCTTATACTCATAAAAAGCAAAAAACCCTTCCCTTAAACCCTTTTTAAAAACAGCTACAAAAACTTCCCTTTTTCCTAAAACGCACAAAACCATTTGCCTTTTTACTCTAAAACAGCTACAAACCATTTCCTTATACTCTAAAACCTAAAAACCACTAGCCTTTATCATAAAACAGCTAAAAAACCAAACTTGCCTTATTCATAAAACAGTACAAAACCACTTCCTTATTACTCATAAAACGACAAAACCATTTGCCTTTCCATAAAACAGTACAAAACCCTTCCCCTTATCCTAAAAACAGCTAAAAAACCCAACTTGCTTAAAACTCAAAAAACAGCTAAAAAAACCCTTGCCTTATACCAAAAAACGCTACAAAAACCACTTGCCTTATACCTAAAACAGCTAAAAAAACCCTTCCTTTATCAAAAAAACATACAAAACCACTTCCCTTTACTAAAAAACAGCAAAAAACCATACCTTATACTCAAAAAACAGCTAAAAAAACCATTGCCTTTACTCATAAAACAGCTAAAAAACCACTTGCCTTTACTCATAAAACACTACAAAACCACTTGCCTTATACTCATAAAAACAGTAAAAAAACCACTTGCCTTATACTCATAAAACAGCTCAAAACCACTTGCCTTATATTAAAACGCTAAAAAACCACTTGCCTTATATCATAAAAAGCTAAAAAACCACTTGCCTTTATCATAAAACAGCTACAAAACCCACTTGCCTTTACTCAAAAAAACATACAAAACCACTTCCCTTATACTCAAAAAAACAGTACAAAACCATTGCCTTAAACTCTAAAATTTCTGAGTGAAGGAATGATATGCTTAAACTTGTCTTCCTTCTAAAGATTCTAAAAACTTCTGTTTCTGTTCTTTAATGTCAAGCTTCTTTGTATGGCAGTTTTTTTTCCTCAGTAATAGATCTTTTGGGAAAAAATTGGGCTAAGTTAGTTTTCCAACAATTATCTAAACTACTCTACTATATTACTACTATCTATACTAATAAAGGTAAAAATTTCTGGGAGGTGAGTTTGGCACCTTTCTGGTAGGACCAAATTATGAAATGCACTCAAAATCCTTAACCCTTTTGGGGTTTCGGCTGTACTAGTAGGGCTTACGTCCCAGTGCCCATTGCACTATCGCTAAAATTCTAGCGCCTTCAAATCTAGTGAGAGAAAGTGGTGGCCTCTATGAAAAAATGGGTCTATGTGGTCAGGTGCACAGTATAAAAAAAAAACCTGCGCACAAGCGAAAAGAAAAAAAAAACTTTGACTGTGTTTTTGGATTAAAACAACGACTTTGCATGTATTTTCAATAGTATTTGTTGTTTTTATAGCTTTCCTGTCTCATTGTATAAATGGAAGACTTTACAAAAAATAGAGTGATTTGAGGGGTTTAAATGAAAAGTCCCTTGAAATGAGCTCAAAGTAGCAGAAAACCTTTTTTTTTTACCGAAGTCAAAAGTAAACAAATCATGCAAAAGCGCCATACACTTTTCAACGGGTAAAAATATTCTTTCAAAGTGCGCTGTATTTTTTTTAAACCATTTCTACACTAATGCAGTAGTCTGAAAACAGTAAATCTTATTTTTTGAGAGAATAAAAATTCAAGGGGGAAGCAAAAAGAATGAAAGGGGCCTGGGGATGTGACTAATGAAAGAATAAATTTTTTTTTAGTGCCAGGAAGTTTTTTATTCAAAACCCTTTTTGGGAAATTGGCATCTTTTGAAATTTGTGTGAAATAGGCAAAATTGCAAAAATTCTGAAAAATGTATTGGTATTTTAAATGGGTAATTGGGGGTTTTCTTGTACTCATTCAATAGAAAAAAGGGAGTTCTAGCAAAATAGTTATGATTTTTGTCGACTAGTACTTTGGAATTGGGCTAAAAATGGGGCTCAAAGAGGGAAAAAAATTCCCAATGCATAAAACTTTCTAGACCGTAATTTCGCGAAGCAAAATTCCGTAAGTTTTCTTCAAATTTTTCATTTTTTTGGTGTCTTTATGTTTGGGAAAAAAGATTATCTTTTATAAAAATTTTTTTTTTTTTTTTTTTTTTAAATTTTGGGGGCCCGAGAACAAGTCTAGAGGGCCTTGGGGCCCCCTAAAAGGGTTAAAACCAATAGTTTAATTGCCCACAGGATGGGTAGGGGGGTACCCATTAAACATTAATTGGGCAGTACAATGCTGTGGCTCATTGTTTCACTGGGTTTGGTGGTGAAAATTTGTTTCAATGAAAATTTTTTTACTTATTTTTAAACCATAGCTAGGGGAAAGCTGAAAGATTTCCCCGGAAAAAACAAACTGTCAGGTGTATTAATCAGACAGAAAAAAGACCTTGGTGATGGAACAAGAGAAATTTAATGTTTTTAAATGCATAACAATTAACGGGGAAAAGTTTTAAACCCTTTTTAAAACAACTTTGTTTGTGTGAAATGTTGTAAAAGATTGTGCTACAGTTTAAAAAAAAAAATTTATAAAATTTACTGCTCTAGGAGCAACTTTTCATGACCTCTTTTGGGTCAAGCAAAAAGGAAAATCCAGCAAGGAAAAATTAAAGTATTCCTCCCACCTGATTTTCCTATTTACAGGTACTTTGCGAAAAGAGCTTTCCAAAAACTCCGGTAAAATAATACCGTATTAACAAAAATAAAAAAAAAATTTTGTCCAAACCTTGTTCCCTCTAATTAAAAAACAGATGCATGAAATATTTTCAAAAGGGGAAAAGTAATCGACAAATTGAACTGCTATGTGTATTGTTTTGGGATCGGGCAAGGTAAAAAATGTGAGGGGGGAGGTGAACGCTGAGGGAGTTAGGAGACGCTCCTAGGTGATCCCAAAAACAGATCACTTGACCTGACCTCAGTGAGTTCATTTAAATGTTGCAGTTTAAAAATTAGTGTAAGCCCCCTTCGGGCAAGACAGTGATGGAATAAAAGAGGGTGAAAGTTTTTTTTTTTGGGGCC